GCGGACTTCCCTTTCCTGATTCTCACAGCCCTGTTTAGGGGGCGCCGTGAGGAAGGCTTCCTGGAGGAGGCAGAGGTTCTGCTGAGGTTGGGAGGGGACCGTCAGAGATGTGGGTGCTGTGGTGACAGTGGGGCTGGCCCTAAAGCAGCTGCCCTCTGCCTGGCCCCAGTGCTACACTCGAGATGCCAGGGGAGGGAGGTGGGCAGGGCCTTGGCTGGCTGCCAGCTTTGGATTTTAACCCCGGCAGGGAGGGGGCAGTGGGGGTTTTCAGCTGAGTGGGCCGGGGCAGGATTTACACATTCATAGCCCTCGGGGCAGCCCTGAAGCTGGCTAACACCTGGAACAGGGTGAGGCACAAATGCCAGAGTGATAGAAGAGGGGATGGACACAGGGATGGATAGATGGACAACAAATATCCTAGGGACAAGAGATGGGAGAGCAGGAAGGGCTGGACCAAGAGGAGCCTGGGTGGAACTACCCAAGCTTTGTGGCTCTCTAGAGAGAAGTTGAGAATTCTTTTCCTGTCCCTTCCCTGACTGTGGCCTTCAGTCACCCGTGCGCCGAGGGTGCATTAACTCCGATAGGAGACTGTCCTGGACTGAGTGTTCGCCCTCCTTCTCTCAGTGCTTCTCGACCTCTGCTGAGTCCAGCATTGGCTTGGGACTGGGGAGGGAGGTGGCTCCCCGTGAGAAACCAGGCAGGGTCAAGTGTCTTCACACCATCAGCAATAGAGGGCCAGGAGAGAGAGAGCGTGCCTCTGGTCATGCTAAAGGGAAGATCTGGGGCAGCTCGTGGAGGAGGGGACATCTCAGCTGTTCCCAGAGCTAATAAGAAATTTGCACAGACCGATGAGGAAAGAGTCCTCCAGGTGGAGGACTGCCCGTGCACAGGCCTGGTGGCATAAAAGCAGATGTATTCAGCATGCTCAGGTGGTGGGTAAAGCCAAAGGGAAAGGGCCATTTGTGTGATGGGGGGGGGGGGGCAGGCCCTGAGGGCACAAAGCTCCTCAAGCCCCTCCCCTCTTGGGCACTTCCCCCTCTGTGGCCTCTGCCTGCTTATTTGAGGTCCTAGCCGATGCCTCTGCTCGTGACAGACATGGTTTTTCATTTCTACCCTCTGTTGGCCAAGACACCTTCCCTGCTTCATCCTGACCCCAGTGCCCTTGGGGGAAGTCTGTGCCATGGTGCTTGAAGCAAAAGAGGTAAGTACCTGGCAAGGCCGCATGAGTGAAGTGGGCTGGGTGTGAGGCAACAGGGAGTGGTGGGGACTGTGGAGAATTAGCAGGTGCGTGGGCAAAAGGGCACAGATGCCACTGAACTCCGCCAACATTGCCTTTTGGGAATTTGGGCCTGGTGCTCCCAGATCTGTGGATTTTCAAGAGAAGCTGGGAATCCAGATTTTATATAAAATCTCTTGATTTTATTTTATTTTATTTATTTATTTATTGTGAGGAAGATCAGCCCTAAGCTAACATCCATTGCCAATCCTCCTCTTTTTGCTGAGGAAGATTGGCCCTGGGCTAACATCTGTGTCCATCTTCCTCTACTTTATATGGGATGCCACCACAGCATGGCATGATGAGTGGTGCGTCGGTACGCGCCCGGGATCTGAACCTGCGACCCCAGGCTGCCGAAGCAGAGCACATGCACTTAACCGCTATGCCACCAGGCTGGCCCCCAAATCTCTTGATTTTAAATAACTAATTTAAAAGTGTTTCCAACATCATACTAGCTAAACAAGAGCATCCTGGACCCATGTGGCCCAGAGCTGAGCATAAGTGATTGAGTGCTGGGTGAGGTTGGAGGGAACAGTGGCTCCCGGGACCAGCACAGGCCACTCTCAGGCTAGGCAGAGAGGCCAGGACACTGATAGTGGTGGGCCCTGGGGACCCCTTGGACAGGCTTCTTCTCAGAGCTGCCTCAGGCAGCCACCGTGCTGATCTTGGAGCAGCGTCACCCCTATGCTCAAGGCTGTCGACTGGCCTGTCAGCCCTACCCCTGTGGGCAGGGACCACTGGGCTCCCCCACCAAGTCCCGGAAGGTGCGCAGTTTTTCCCTTGTCAGTACCGCAGCCTCTGCTCTCCTCTGCCTGATGCCCCAATGCCCACATCTTCCGGAACTGCTGGTGACGGGAGACAGGAGGAAACAGGAAGCAAGGCTGGTGGGGGGAGAGCATTACACAGGAGCAGAGTGTGGCCTAGAACATTCTCTGGACCTGGAGCCAGACAGCCTGGGTTTGAACCTTGACCCTGCCACATGCTGGTGAACTTGGGCATGCTCATAAACCCCTCTGCCTCTCATTTGTTCATCCTAAAAGTGGGGATGAGGATGGCGATGATGACAATAATAATAATGTCCCTAACTTATCAAGCTGCATGAGGATTAAATGTGTTAATGTACATAAGGCGCTTAGAACAGCACCTGGCAACACAGGTGCCATGTGGGAGCTATTTCAGCACACTTTCCATGTATACACACATGCACACACGTGTGCACCCACATATGCATACACAAGTACACATGTACGTGCATGCGTGCACACACATAAGCCCACACGCAAGTGCACACACACGAGTCCACACGCATCCGTATGCACAGACACCCCTAAAGCGTTGGTGGCCTCATTGGGTGCACCCCCTGTGGGCGTGTTCTCTAGAAGGGAGAAGTCCTCATCCCCCAGGTTCTGTGTCCTTTGTCTTCGGGTCGAGCAGGGTGAGAGGGAACCCTCACTGAGTCCTGCTCTGTGCCAGCCTCTGTATTAGGGCCTGAGGTAGCTTATTTCAAAAGAGCTGTTGTGCCTGGGGAGCTAAGGGACTCCCGGAGTCCCGCCACCGCTGAGTGGCAGGGGAGGGGTTGGCCCTCCACCTGGCTGAGTCACCGTCCGGTTCTCGGGAAGCCACGTGGCCGGGCTGCGTCCGCGGGGACCGCAAACTGACTGGACAGATTGGAGCTCTGACGTCGTGCCCCTGGTGCGCCAGGAGCCACAGCCCCGTTGTCCACATCGTGCTCCCAGGGTTCTCAGTCAGCCACTCCTCTGCCTCCTTCCTCTCTCCCTCTTCCTCGTCCCTCATTTGCTTTCTTGTCCTTTGTTAAATGTTTTGGATCTTTTGCTTCCTGATTTTTTTTGCAAATGGTATTGACATGTAGCATACAAAAAAGTGTACAAATCACAAGTGTACAGTTCAGTGAATTTTCTCAAAGTGAACACAGCTGGGGAAGCAATCCCAGCACCCCAGAGGCCTGCAGGCCCTTCCGGTCACTGGTCCGCCAACGCAACGTGCCCTGACCTGGTTTTGCACTTCACGTAAATGGAGTCACGCAGTGTGTTCTCTGGGTCTGGCTTCTGCTCACGATTATGGGGTTTTTTATGTTTTTTTTTTTTTGAATTTTTAAAAATTACAATAGACCTAACATAAAATTTAACATCTTAACTATTTTTAAGCGTACAGTTCAGTGGCATTAAGTACATTCATAATGCGCAGCCTTCCAACCATCCACTTCCAGAACTCTGTCCGTCTTGTGAAACTGAAACTCTGTGCCCACTGACACTAACTCTCCATTCCCCCGTCCTCTGGCCCCTGGCAACCACCACTCTGCTTCCTACCTCTATGATTTTGACCAGGAGTAGTCGAAACTTAAGTACCTCATGTAAGTGGAATCATTCGGTATTTGTCTTTTTGCGACTGGCTTATTTCACTGGGCATAGTGTCCTCAAGGTTCATCCATACTGTAGCATGTCTCAGAATTTCCTTCCTTTTTAAGACTGGATAATATTCCATTGTATGGATATGCCACATTTTGTGTATCCAATCATCCATCGATGGTGGGTAGCTTCCGCATTTTGACTATAGTGGATAGTGCTGCTATGAACACGAGGGTACTGATGCCTCTCCGACACCCTGCTTTCAGTTCCTTTGGCTGTATACACAGAAGTGGAATTGCTGGGTCATATGGTAATTCTGTTTTATTTTATTTATTTATTTATTTTTTTGAGGAAGATTGGCCCTGCACTAACAACTGTTGCCAATCTTCCTCTTTTTCTTTTTTCTCCCCAAAGCCCCAGTACATAGTTGTGTATCATAGTTGTAGAGTTGTAGCTTTTCTATGTGGGACGCCACCTCAGGATGGCTTGATGAGCGGTGAGTAGGTCCGTGCCCAGGATCCAAACCTGCGAACCCTGCGCCGCCAAAGTGGAGCGCACGAACTTGACCACTACACCACTGGGCCAGCCCCTGTTTTAAACTTTTTGGGAGGTCTCCGTACTGTTTTCCACAGTGGCCGCACCATTTTACATTCTGACCAACAGCGCACAAGGGTTCCAATCTCTCCGCATCCTCGCCAACGCTTGTTTATTGTTTTTTGGTAGTAGCCATCCTGATGGGTGTGAGGTGGGACCTCGTTGTGCTTTCGGCTTGCATTTCCCTGATGACTAGTGATGTTGTCGTGATTACGTTTTCACATCAGTATGTCGTCTGTCTTGTTGTGTGAGCTGTGCCTCCGCAGTTCTGCTGTCTGGTGCTCCACGGTGTGAGGAGACTTCACAGTATCCACTGTTTTACTGTCGATGGGCTTTGGGTGGTTTCCCATTAGGAGGAAGTGCAAGGAGTGCTGTTAAGAACCTTCTAGGGCACGTCTTTTGGTGGACATAGTCCTGGGTTTTTAAATGTAAGCCCCTCCAGTTTGGAGGTTAGTGTTGTGTAAATACACTGATCAATATAATGCATCGTGCATGCTCCCTGAGGGCCCTGTAAAGGCTCCTCAGGCTGCGACAAGCTCCATCGGACACGGCAGGCTGCCTGCCCATTGCGCCCTCCTGCCCCCTGTCCCAGGAGCCCGGTGTCCAGCCATCTGCTCTGTGCCCCCCAGTTTCTCATTTGCTCCTTCGGGAGGAGCCACCTTTGGCCCTGACCACGCCCCCTGCCCTTCGTTGTCCCAGTGCCCACCTGCCCCCACCACTGAGCTGGGTGACTGAGGGAGTGACTGGCTCCTCTCTGTGCCCAGGGATCTTCGGGCAGCGCCTGGAGGACACAGTCCACCACGAGCGGAAGTATGGCCCCCGCCTGGCGCCCCTGCTGGTGGAGCAGTGTGTGGACTTCATCCGGGAGCGCGGGCTCACCGAGGAGGGGCTCTTCCGCATGCCAGGCCAGGCCAACCTGGTGAGGGACCTGCAGGATTCCTTCGACTGTGGGGAGAAGCCTCTGTTTGACAGGTGAGCTCCTGGGGGTGCAGATGGGGCCTCCTGCCCCTTCTTCCTGCAGGGGCTCCTGTCAGGAGTCAGCTCCAGTGGGCAGGGCGGGGCCATGCCTGGGAAGCCTGGTGGCAGGACGGTGGGCTTCTGCCCAGACCCATCACCGCAACGAGGAGAGTCTGTCAGTTGCTTTCGTTAGATGTGGAGCCTGGGAGTGACCGCCATTCCCCAGAAGAGGTCTACCCAGGAGGGCACAGGAGTCCCTCATCTGGAGCCTTCATGAAGCTCCACTCCAATGCTCTGAGCTTGTGGTCCAGTATTTACAGTCCCAGTGAGCTTGTGGTCCATTCTGAACCTCTTTCAGCCAGGCCTCTTCCATCCTGTGTTTATGTGGCCCAGGGTTGGAGATTGCTTGAAATAATGCCCCTTCTCTGGTTTCTGGAAACTCATCTTTGACATTGGGGCTTTTCAGAGAAGGGACCAGGGCCCTGGTTGCCACTGACCCCCCTCCCTGAGTGTTCCCCTGCCTGTGGGTGACCACAGCCTCTCCTTTCTCTACTTGTCTTTCACCAAGAAGGTGCTGAGGAGCCCGAGTATGGAGTGCTGGTGGAAAATCAAAAGGAGGTGATCAGTAACCAGTGGGACCCTCAGATCCAGAACCCAGGGGAGGATTCGGGGGGCAGGTGTGCGGTTGGGTGTCGTCTGTTTGACAGGGCGACAATAGGGTGTGGGGCATGTGAGCGCACCTGGGAGAGCATGAGGAAAAAGGGGGGCAAGACTGAGAAGCCCCCTTGAAGGATACACCCAGAGGGGATCCCAGGCAGAGCTGTAGAGGTGGCCAGAGAGGGAGCCGGGAGACAGGAGAGCACGTCCGGGACACCGGGGAGGCCGGAGTCAGCTCTGTGAGATGCGGCATCTGATGGGCTCTGGGGCCGTCAGCTGCCTCTCCCGGGGATGTTCAACAGGCGGCCAGGAGGGGAAGGAGCCAGGCCAAGGACTCCAGGAGCCGCAGCGTGGGAGAGAGGCTGTGCCGCGGTGGAGACCAGGCGGAGAGAGGCACGGGTGCCCCGGCCACTCCAGGGAGCTGGGTTTGGTCCTGAGGCCTGGGAGCCTGGCAGAGTTTGAGTAGGGAGGTGGGAAATCTGATCTGTGTTTGCAGAAATCCCCCAGGGGGCAACAGGCAGTGCATCTGGATGCTGGAGAACTTCTAAAAAGTCCAGGTTCCCAGGCCTTTCCCTGCATCTTGTGGAATCAGACTCCAGGGGTGAGGAGCGGGAATCTGCGTGTTGAAAAGCCCCCAGTGAGTCTGCTTAGCGACCAGGTGTGGGAGTCAGTGGCCTAGGGGCAGCCCCTCCTCCCTGGGTGCGGGCAGGTCCAGGCTCCCTCTGCCCTCCCCAGTGTCCCTCCGCTTGCTTCCCCCTGCTCTCCCTCCCCACCCCCTCCCCCCACCCGCACACTGGCCCTAAGCCCCTGCCCCCGTCTGGAGCACCCTCACTAGACCCTGCCCTCAGTGTGTTTACAGGTGTTTTCTTAAATGGTCACATGTCCATTTTCTGGATTAGGACCCGAGGCTGGGAGACCCCCTGTAACTCAGCCAAGATGCCCAGAGGTGGGCTTTGCCCAGCTGGAATCCTGGCCTGTTTCCTAGAGCCCCTTCCCTTCTACCTACACCCCCTCCAGAAAAGTCCCTCCCTCAGCCTGCTGCCCGCTCGGGAACCAGCCGTCCTATTTCTCCCTCCTGTCATTGTATAGCCTCGCACACAGGGGCCTCCCCCTCTACCACACTCACCCTTGCTGGCCTCCTGGCCTCAGGCCCAGGGGTCTAGGCTCCTTCCCAGGGCCCTGCTCAGCAGTGCTCCCCACACTGCCCTGGGCTCTGGGTGTTCTCCCCTCTGGAAACTCCTCCCTGGGGCATGTGACACCATCTCTCCCACTTTCCCCCAACTCCATGGTGGTCCTCTGGCTCTGCAGCAGTGTCCACCCCCTGACATGGGGGTCCCAGGGCTCCTTCCCTCACCCGCCTGCCGACAGAGGCATTTCAGGGTAGAGCTCACTCACTCCCAAGACCGCACTCTGCACCACGACGAAGTCTGGCCCCAGGTCCTGGGTCCCCTCCTCCATAAAGAGCCCCATTGGGCGTGGAAGCCTGTCACTAGAGCTGTCCCATATGTGTCCTTCCCACAACCCTGGCCCCTGGGCTGGAGCAGCCCTCCCAGCCCTGTCCACGTGGTAGCCGAGCATCCAGGAGGGTCTCCTCTGGGCCAGACCCTGGCAACTCTGGGGACTCTCGCCACAGCCCTGTCTTCCTTCCCCCAGCACCCCTCCATTGACTGAGAGCACTCGGTAGGCATGGGGGTGCGGCTGTGAACAGGACAGACAAGGTCCTGCCTGGGGCGGATGACAAACAGGTCACCACACTTAGGGAAGCAGTGCTGGCTCCCGCTCCAGCCTATAGCCCAGAGTGGGCGTGCTCCTGGCTCCCAGAAAAGGCCAAGGAGGCAGGCGGCCTGGGAGGTGGGCCTGGTGCTGGGAAGCCTTCAGAGGGTCTGGGGTGGGAAATGTGGGCCAGCTGCTGCGTGGAACATGGACTGCAGGGCAGTGAGGTGTGTAGGGGACAGGCAGGATATACGGCCGTGTTCTGGACTGGACAACGCTGGTGTTGGCATGGGCGAGAGGGGGAAGGAAGAGATGCCAAGGAATGGAAACGTATCAGATCCACCCTGCAGATGGAGAAACTGAGGCTCCGGGGTCATCAGGGCACGGCTGGGTCACCCTGACAGTGAGGGCAGAAGCTGATTTGAAGCCCAGGGTGATCACCTTGTCTCCGGCTGTTGCCCTCCCTTTGTGCACCCGGCCCCCTCCGCCTCTCTCTGTGAGCCTGGTCCTGGGGGAGGGAGAGGGGCGGCTGGAGGCGCTCACAGGCTGGCGGGTACCCGTGGTGCTGTGGGGTGCGAAATGCTCTCCTTGGCTGCTGGGGGCGTGGCGCTGGATTCAGGGCAGGTGTTGTGTGTGGGAGGGGAGGGGTGAGGGGAATTCAGGAACAAGTACCAAGAAAAAACCTAGAGCAAGCTGTTAAAGGAGAAGGCTCTGCAGTGAGCGGGGAAGGTGGGAGAGGGTGAGAAAGTGCGTTTCCAGGGAGGGGGGAAGGAAGTGAGGCTCCATGGACCAGAGTGGGCAGGGGAGCTGGGCACGGCGGAGCAGCAGGGACCTGTGGGGCAGGGGGCTGTGAACTGCGGCTGCCCCACGAGGCGGGGGCTGGGCCTCCCAGGCCCAGGAGCGCTGCATCCTGTGGGCAATGAGGAGGTGCCAGGCTGGGGCCTCAGGCAGGGATGCAGCTGATGGGGTCTGCAGAGTGGAAGGGCCTCTCTGCGTCCACTTGCGAGGACAGAAATGCTTCCACCTCCCCCGCTGGGGGAAACATCATGGCTGGCCCTTGTCCGCACTTCTTTGCTTTCGCTGCCCAAGTCCTTCCAAAGAGCAAGGTTGCTGGTCCTCCTTGCTTCCCGTCCCCCCTGCCATCCTCCTGGGGCTCTGGTTTGTGCAGAGGCCACCACTGAACCCACGGGGCTCCAGTCGGGAGAGGCCATTGAGCTCAAGCCCACTGGGGCTTTAAACCCCTAGGCAGTGGAGGGCGTGGGCAGAGGGGTGGCCCCGGAGAAGGCAGTGGAGGGCGTGGGCAGCAGCCTGCCTGGCTGGAGAGGGAGGTGGGGGCAGTGACAGGGGCTGCTCTGTTGGCAGGCCAAGAGCCACCAGGCCCAAGGCAGGGAGGGGCTGCGATTATGTGGGTTTGAGGTGCCTCTGGGCATACGGAACCCCAGAATCTCAAATGCCAGGGCCAGAAGGGACCCCAGGGCTTATCTCAGTGATACCAGCCTTGGACAGCCAGGGCCGGGTGGCACCTTAATGGCACAGCCACATTCTCCTGGCCCCAGGCCTTCTTTCCTGAGAGCCTCCCATGATGGAAATGCAGGTCCAGGTTTAAATCCGTGGCCCTAGAAAAGCAGAGGAAACACCGGGGCTCAGGCCTGGCCTGGAAGGCGAGCTTGGAGGAGGCGCCAGGACTGCAGTCCGGGACCTGAACCCAGAGCCTGCACAGGCCTGGGGCCTCTGCCCTCCCCTGCAGCCTGGGCAGCTCCGAGCTGGGAGCAGGAGACTGAGGACTGGGAGTGGACCCACGGGGTCCACGGGGTGCTGGGGCACTGGAAATGGGGTGATAAGCATGGAAGCTCAGGTGTCAGTAGTGTGACTAGGAGCCCAGAGGCCAGGGTAAGGGCGTAACCTCTGACCTGCCTTGCCCCGGGGGGGTGTGGCAAGTTCAGGCTGCACCGCTGGCTCCCCCACTGTGCCCCAGGGGTGGGAGTAGCTCCCACATCACCCTGCAGAAGACCCTGGGGCGGCCACTAGGCCCGCAGAAGGGGACCTTGCACTCCCACCGGTTCCCTGGCCGCTGTCACAGGCACCTCGCTGTGTGAGCCGGATGGGTCATGTGTGCTTCCTCCCCCAGAGTAGCCTCTCTGGGGGAGCTGTCGCGCCCGGCAGGGCCCGGTGGCTGCTGCAGCAGTGGCGTGAACATTAGCCCCATGAGTCCCACACTGTTTGTGAGGGAGACACTGCCGTCCCGGGGCCTGACCCAGACATGAGGCGCAGCGGTTCTGAGCAGGCGCCGGGCTGATGGGCCGCCCCTGAGCTGGCACTCTGGTGCAGCCCACTCCAGCGCCCTGCGCACTGCTCCTGGAAGCAACCTGGGCCTGTCCTTGCCCAGGGGCAGTGGGTGCAGATGCAGCCCTCCTCTCTGCCTGCCCTTGCACGTGCGGGGTGCACACACACGCACACGTGGCAAGGGTGAGAGCAGAGGCTGCCACTGGGGCGGGCGGGGCGATGTGCTGGTCACTCCTGCAGTTCCCTGGCGCCAGGCCTCACGGGTGTCTCCCCGCCGGCAGCACAACGGACGTGCACACGGTGGCCTCCCTGCTGAAGCTCTACCTGCGGGAGCTGCCTGAGCCCGTGGTCCCCTTCGCCAGGTACGAGGACTTCCTCAGCTGCGCCCAGCTGCTCACCAAGGACGAGGGGGAGGTTAGTGGATCTGGGAACCCAGCCTGGGAGGAGGGCCTGTTAGGTGGTTGCAGGGGATGTGTGTGGAGTCAGGGCACAAACTCTGATATTTCATGACTTTTCATGGCACGTAGGTCCTGGCCTGCAGCCTACTCTGTATGTGTGTTGTGGGGGCAGGGGGCCTGGAGCATCCTGCTTATGTTGGGGAGGAGCTAGAGCATTCTGCTCTGTGTGTGGCGGGGTGAGTCCTGGAGCATCCTCCTCTGCTATGCTGACCGGCCTTCTGCTCTGGGAGGTTGGGGGCATCTTGCTGTGTATGAGGGCCTGGAGCATCCCCTCTCTGTGGAGGGCCCTCCTGTGTGCAGGTCTCCGTCTCAGGGCCGGCAGGGACCTCCTAAAGCAGGCCCTGTCCAGTCACTGCCCAAGTGCAGGGTGCCCAGTCCCGGGCCACCACACAGTAGGTCCTCCTCCTCCTCCTGCTCCCACACCCACCTCAGGCTACCCAGGCCGCTATGGGGTTCAGAAACAACCAGACCTTTCACCTATTTATATCCTGCCTCCTCCCAAAAGAATTTGAGACCATTCCCAGGACAGAGGGCCCCTGCCTCCTCACCCCGCAGGTGCCTGCCTGCAGCCCTGGGCTGGCTCCCAGCTGCGGAAGGACTGTTTGCCCTCCCTGTGGCTGTGTGGGAGATGAGGGTCTTTATCTGGCAAATATTTGTGTCTCGATAAGTGAGCTGAGCGCTGGCCCTGACATTCCTCTGTGGCCCTGCAGAGGCACATCCCTCACACCAGCTCCCCAAAAGTGAATCTGCTTCCCCCGAAGGCTGCCAGCCTGGCCTGGCCACTCCTTGGAGGGAGATGGATGTGATGGTACCCTCTGGTCACCTGGGGCCGGGCCATCTGGGTCATGGCTGGAGGTCTGGCCTCTGGTTCCTTTTACCTACCCAGCCCACCTCCCTCCTCCTCTCTCCTACCCCTCCCTCAGTAAGGAAAGGGCCCCCACCTCTTTACTGGTCTTTGAAATGTTGTTTTTCTCTTTCAATCCCAAGGGGACTCTCGAGTTGGCTAAACAAGTGAGCAGCCTTCCCCTGGCCAATTACAACCTGCTCAGATATATCTGCAAGTAAGTGGCTGGGGGCGTGCTGGGTCAGTCTCCCACCCCGTACTCCCCCCGAGTGCCAGTTGAGCCAGTGGGGACTGTAAGAGAACACAGTCCCTGTGCTCACACAGCCCCTGTGCTCACACAGCTTCCTGTCCCCGTGGGAGCAGGCAATGTTAAAGAGTCCTGTGTGGATCATTCCTGAAGGAAAGGGACACACCTTCTGTCCCTTCTGCCTCCTCTGGGTGCCTCTCACCGTCCCATTCCCCAGGGCTCTGCCTCCCGATCACGACCGAAGCCCGGGCACTGGGAAAGGGCATGTAGGGCAGCCTCACCCAGCCCTGTGCCTGGGGGGTCTGGGCCTTCCCCGGCATCTGTCCCCACTGCGCACAGGAGGCATGTGTCCTTCTTCCACACTGATGACGGGCCTGTGTCCACTGGCCTCTGCTCCTGCTGGCCCTCTTGGACCCCAGGGGGAAGCTCCGCCCTCTTCTGAGCCTGGCAGGGGCAGCCAGCTGTGCCCGGCAGCCGTGGAATCATGGGGGCATGGCTGGGCAGGGGGCCAGGAGCTCCCAGCAGATCTGGCATCAGGATTTCCTTCTCCTGCCACTGCCTCTTTGTTACGTTGCAGGTTTCTGGATGAAGTTCAGTCCCACTCAAATGTCAACAAGATGAGCGTCCAGAACCTGGCAACTGTTTTTGGACCTAATATACTCCGGCCACAGAGAGAAGACCCAGTGACGATCATGGAAGGTAACGGTGGAGGCTCCGCGGCGGGGCTGGGTGCTGCTGGGGTCTGGGCTCACGGTGGTCTTGGGCAGGTCCTCAGAACCATCATGCCAGGCTGGCTGGATGGGTGGTTCCATCCCTGGGGACACGGCAGAAGCCTCTCTAAATCCTCCCCAACCATGGAGTCCAGCTATAAAGGGAAAAGGACCTTTGCCCCGTGGATGGTAACAGGACATCACTGGGTGCAGTTAGAATGACGGGAGAGGCCGGAGGGATGGAAGGCCAGCGTCCTGGCCCTGAATACACACAGATGTTTTTGCTTTACTCAAGTAATTTTCTATTGAGTAGCTGTCACAGGCTTCTGGATGCCAGAGCTTTGCAAACCATAGGGAATTTTTGTACTATAGTAAATAATAATAATAAAATGATAAAAATAGCAGCTGCTTTCAATATACCAGGGCCTCTACTAAGTGCTTACTTGTATCCTCTCATTGTACTCTTCACAAGTCACCCTTGCTGTGGTTACTGCCCCCATTTTACAGATGAGGAAACAGGCCAGGAGAGGCGAGGTAACTTTCCGTCAGCCAGACTTACCGAAAGGCACAGGTGCAGGCTGGCATGGAAACGAGAGCCCACGCTCGGGGCCCCATGGAAGACTGCCCCGGAGGGGTCAGTGTGAGTCCTGCTGCTCACAGACGGGAGCCCACAGCCTGTGCTGGCTGAGGAGGGCGGAGGCTGAGCAGGACTCACACGGTCACAAAGCCAGCTGGAGCCGCTGCCCTGGTACTGGGAGAGCTGAGGGCAGAGTTGCCATTCCTTGCTGAGTGTGACCTGGGGGAGGTGTGGGGAGTCTGAGGGTGGGCTGTGGAGCTGTTCTCTTCCCCCTGAGCCGAGAGGGTGGCCCTTGGGGCTGGCTCTCTTGCTCGGGTCCCCTCTTTGGGCTGCCTGGCTGGGTCTCCCGCCCAGGGCCCCAGGCTCCCGCCTGCCAGGTTCCATGAACGCCTGGAGGGAACGCTCGCCCCTCTACTTCGCGAGTTCCTGCTTCCCCCAGTTTTCTGGTCTAAGGATTCCTCACTTTATTCTTCCCAGGGTTCTTAGTTACCTCTAGCAGGAGGGCCCGACCAAGCACTCCACCTTCCTTATCACCTGGGAGCCTCCCCAGTCTGCTCTGTGTTTGGTTGAGGGTGACAGCAGGGAACGAGGGGATACCATGGTCCCTCCGCACCGCCCCCCTCTGCCACCGCCTCCCGCCCCCAGCCTCAGGAACCGAGTCCCCCACAGACGCCACAGGCTGCACCTCAGGGGCTGTGGCTGGAGAAGGGGGATTGTGTGTGTGTGTGTGTGTGTGTGTGTGTGTGTGTGTGTGTGTGGAGTTGTGCATGTTGGGGGTGCTGTGTGCATTTGTGTGTGTGTGCGTGTACCTGCGTGCACCTGTAAGACATCTCTATTCCCTGTCCCAGAGCCGTGTGCCACCCAGAGTGTGACAGTGGGACACACCATCATCGGCAGCACAGGGGAGTGACATGGGGCAGCGAGAGGACTCTGATGTCCAGGTCCTGGTTTCCAGCCCCAGCCTGCCACTCGCTCACCCCACAGCCTTAACCATCGTGCCGGCTCTCTCCCCACGCAGCTGGATGGAGTGGGCTCCGAGGAACAGTGCCTCCTCTGGGCTCCAGGCCCCACGTCTGCCCGAGGAGGGGGATTCTTGGGCAGGATCCTTCTGTCCGTGCCTAGATTTGGAGGGTGTGGTGGCCGTCCTTCGGGGCAGCTGATGGCAAGCTCTTGTTGCATCCTCTCTTGAGGGGCAGCCTGGTTCTCGGCTGCAGGCAGGGCCAGGCACCCTAGGTCCAAGCTGCAGCACTCGCCGACTGGTCTGGAGAGCCCAGACTGGGAGACATTGACAGCCAGGCCTTTCTCCTTCCATCTTCTTGGCAGGCACTTCCCTGGTCCAGCACCTGATGACCGTCCTGATCCGCAAACACAGCCAGCTCTTCACTGCGAGGGCCACAGAAGGGCCAGCCACCCCACGTGGGGGCCCACCGTGCATGGTGGGATGGGGCTCCGAGGAGGTCACGAAGGACAGCCAGGCAGAGCCCAGCCGCCCCAGTGCCCCTGGCCTGCCCTCACATAGGACTTCATCTCTGGACGGGGCCACCGTGGCGGCGCTTTCTAGAACCTCTCCCAAGGGCCTGGGTAGCCCTGCTGCCACCAGCCCTGGAAAGAGGGTGCAGACTCTCCCCCACTGGAAGTCTTCCTTCTGGCAGCCGGGGTCCCGGTCAGGGAGCCCGAAGGTGGGCAGCTCGTCCCTGGAGGTGCCTGTCACCTCCTCCAGCGGGAACTGGCTCGTGAATGGGCTGTCCTCCCTGCGCGGCCACCGCCAGGCCTCATCGGGAGACCGGCTCAAGGACTCAGGCTCCGCGCAGAGACTCTCCACTTACGACAACGTGCCCCCGCCCAGCCTCTGTCCCAGCACTCCCAGCGTGGCCAGCACAGCATGGTCTGGGGCCTCCTCCTGTGAGGCCTCCGCCAGGGGCTCGCTCAGCAGCTGCACAGCCTGCCGGGCCAGCGACTCATCCGCCTGTAGCTCCCTGCACACTGAGGGGGCCCTCGAGCCCTCCCCCCTCCCCAGCAGCAGCGAGGACCACAGATGCCCGGACCTGGGCCACGGCCTGGACGAGGTGGGCACCTGCATCAGCAGCAGCGAGCCCAGTGACCCAGGCAGCCCCACCCAGGACCGTGCCCGCCGCTCCGAGGCTCTCCAGGGCCTGGTCACGGAGCTGCGGGCGGAGCTGTGCCGGCAGAGGACTGACTACGAGACGAGTGTGAAAAGGTAAAGGGCTGCAGCCGCGGGGCCAGTGCGAGGCAGGCCCTGCTCCTGCCGGGCAGAGCCCTAGTGGCCAGTTGCTCACTGGGCACTGCCCCGATAGTCAGCCTCTGGCCTCATGGCCTCTGGCTCTGAAAGAAAGCCTCCTGGAGGCAGAGCTCAGAGCAGCAGCCCCTAGAAGCTGCCTTTCTGCAAGAATGCCTCCAGGACAGGGTTGGGAATGGAGGGGTGGGGTCCTGTGTCTGGGAAAGCTTAGGAGTTGTGCGGCCTGGCATGCAGTCGGAGCTCCATAAATGCCTGCTGAACAGGTGAGTGAGCCAGAATCTCAGCCTGAGCTGCTCAGAGTGCCTTTGATAGAGGGGCTCAGAGGGGGCGTCCCTGTGTGGCCCTCAGTCAGGGAGGGGACAGACCCCCTAAGATGTGTGCATGGGCTTGAGGAAGTGCCCACGTGCAGTGAAGGCCCCAGGCCAGCCTGGCTGGCTGACCGTGGTCGGGCCTGCCATGGAAGGAGGACTCTTTCCAGCATCAGATTTTGCTTGCCCCTGAGAGGAAGGTGGCCCACCCTGCCCTAGTCACAGGAGGAGGTCGTGTGCATATTCTGAGCCTTGCGGGCTTGCTCATAGATGAGCCCTAGTTCAGTCCTCCCAGCCTCCCTGTGAGGACGGTGTTTTCCAGCTCTGGGAGCCTGAGTTCTCCGATTAAGTCCCCAGGAGAGCCTGCACTGGACAGTGCACAGTGCTCCCGTCAGCATCTCAGGCCCCCTAGCCCTCTCTCCCCAGGCCCTGGGCCAGCTGTCTGACCTGCGAACCCAGGCCCCATCCACTGGCAGAGGCTGGCGGCAGGTTCTGAGGGCCTCCTCTTCCCATCAGAGACAGTGCAGGTGGAGGGGACTCCTCCTCCTAATTCTGAGCCTGGGATTTCCACAGGGAGCTGGATTGGCAGCGTTTGGCCCTTCTGTTCTGCTGGCAGCCATCTCCTGGGCACCCGAGAGTGTCAGGTGTGTGCAGGTGCTGTGTCCTCAGTGGGGAGAGGACAGAGAAGGGCTTTGGGGGCAGAGGCCCTGCCGTGAGGGAAGTCAGGGAGGGTCACAGCAGGCGGTGACTGAGCCGGGCCTTGACCAATAGGATCGAGCTGAGGGAGGAGGAGAAAGGACATGGCAGGAGTAGAACCCCAGGGTATAGAACTGTGAGGAAACCCCACAGATGTGAGCATGGGTTGGACTTTACCAGGCAAAGGTAAACAGAGGAGGCACCCCACAGAGACACGGAGGAAGATGATTACTGCTGAAGAGGAGCTCGCAGACTATAGAATATACGGGAAGGATTACCCCTGGAGAGGAGGTCAGAATCAACTTCTCACCTCCTTGGCTGTTTGTGGAGCCAACTTGAGCTTCTAGTTCTCTCACCTTCTCAGACACTTGGTTTCTCAGGGGAAAATGCAGTATTGTTCTGTGGTGAGCTCTGGGTCGGACTGCCCTACTATGTGTTGGCTGAGTGTCCCAGGCAGGCTCTCTGGCCCCAGTGTGTGTTGGCTGAGTGTTGGTCTGGGCCTGGGTGACCTCACCCCTTTGTCATGAGGATGAGGTGACAGGGTGGACGGGAGTGCTCAGCACGGAGCCTGCGCACCCTGAGTGCTGGGGAAGCCTTCACTGCTCGCACTGCCTCCTGCTGGGTGGGTTGGAGGGAAGATAAGGCTCCCGGAGGCAAAGGGCAGCGGCGGCGGCCCTGTGGTGCCCCTACTAGCAGAGCAGAGCCGTCCAGGCTGTGGTCCTGGTTGGAGGGGTGGTCAAGAGTGAGGAAGGTCTCTGAGCACAGGACGGAACGGCCCCGTCGAGCAGCCTTTGGGGACTATGTCTGCACATGTGGACTCGGCACTGGGTCTGGCCTGGGGGGTGCAGGGGAAACGGGCTTTGCGCCCTGCTTCCTAGATGCTCACCCCTCCCCTGCACCCTGATGCCTGTATTCCCGAAAGAGAATACGCTGAGTGTCTGCGACATGCCACGCACTGTGCTGGGTGCTGGGGACACAGCGATGACCAAAACTGATCAAAATCTCTGCCCTCATTCGTATTTGGTGAGGGTGGGAGGGGACAGAGAGATGATAAACGAGAGATATTTGAAAATATATGGTATGTTAGAAGGGAAGATAGAGGAGGAGAACAATAACAGAGGTGGGAAGGGGAGCAAGGGGGCAGAGGGGTGGAAGGCACTGCCGGGAGGAAGGGAGAGCTCCGAGTGGGAGTCTGTGTTGCAGGCAGAGGGAAGAGCCAGGTGCAGAAGCCAAAAGCCCCGGGGCCAGAGAGGCAGGAGTGGGGTTGGGGGCGGGGCAGAGGGTGAGAAGGGGGCGGGGCAGGGCCTTTGAGCGGAGTGTTGCTCTGGACTTTGCTCGCAGTGAGATGAGAAGTGGCTGCAGGGCCTTGAGTACTCTGACCACTGTGATCGGCGCACCCGGCTGCTGCGCTGTGGAGAGCGCGAGCAGTTAGGCCACAGGGGTCCGGGCCAGACTTGCAAGTGGCCTGGACCTAAGGGGCAGCAGTCGAGGTGGGGAGAAGCAGCCAGATTCTGAACATATTTGGGAGAGTTTTGCTAGTTGATCAGACATGAGAGTGAGAAAAAGGACTGACTTAGGGACAACATGTTTGTTCTGGCTGAGCAGCTGGAGAAAGGTGTTCCCTGCGGGGGAGACTGGGGTCACAGGAGGAGTGCTTTGGGGAGGGAGGGTCAGGAGCTCAGCTGGAAAGTTGCTGCGTGGAGTCGAGGGAGATGCAGGTTGAAGGGTCGTCAGCATGTAGATGGTGCTTTGAGTCTGAACGCTGGACAGGGTCGCTCAAGGAGTAGCAGAGAGAGGAAGAGGGGAGGCCCAGGCCTGAGCTCAAGAGCACCAGGGGGCAAGGAGAAACCAGCAAAGAGGGGCCCAGGACTGGAGGAGAGGCAGTGAGGGGGTTCGTGGGGGCCCCGCTGCCACTCACCTTAGGGGGGTCTTCTTGCCCCGGCCAATGTGCCCTGTGCTCCCCAGAGGGAGGGCTGGGGTGGAGGGGGTTCTCTCACTTCTCCGTGCTGTGTGCTCAGCGGTTGAGGGTGGAGGTCGGCCTGGTCTTGGAGGGGGCGGGGAACTGAATTCGCTCCACATGCACCGTGTACCGGGCGTTGTGCTGAGCACACATGGTCTTCTTTGCCCGTTATAGCTATCGTGCTGGGGGGAAGGTTGTCCCCTGCAGTTTTCAGAAGAGGACCCCAGGGATCAGTGCAGTTGTGTCCTGCCCACAGTCACTGTCTCATGAGTAACCAGGCTGGGGCTCAAACTCCAGTGAGTGGGTTCCCAGGGGCCGGGCTTAGCGCGTCCCTCAGGCCGTACAGGAGTTGGTCGTCTGGTCAGAAAGACCCATGTGCCGACCTTTGTGCAGCGCGGGTCAGCCTCCACAGAAGCACGTGGTGTGGCTCTGTGGTAGGAACAGTAATGTGGCCTGCTGGGGACGATCAAGAGAAGCTTCACTGAGGGTGAGACATTTGAGCTGGGGTGTGAAGGACGAGGAGGAATGGAAGTGACAACCCAAACGGGGTTTCCTGCCAGTCACTGTTTCTGGCTGGAGCATGGGGAGGCCTGGGGGTTAGGGGGCCGCAGGAGGGAGGCCAGAGCTCAAGGGGCCTAGTAGACGAGCAAAGGCGAGGGAACAGTTTCCTGCTCCCCTCTCTGTGCAGGAACCGCTCCTGCTCTCTGCCAGCCAGCAGTCCATCCCTCAGCGGACGGTTGGCTGGGCCGAAGGGTGAGTGGTCTCTGTGTTTTAGTGAGGACTCAGGGAGGCCCCAGCCTCGAGGGCTCAAGGGTCAGATCCTCACAGCGGCATTTCTGGATCCCCGGTGAGGGGAGGTCCTCCGGGGCTGAGGCCCATGGGCTCCCGGGTGAAGTCCTAGGGTCTTGTGTGGAGCAGATGAGGTTGGGGGCCTCGCTCAGAGCCAGGTCTGAGCCCCCCAGAGCTGGGCCCGACCAGCCCCTCTCCCCCATCGTGAGTGCACGCAGACACGAGCCTGCCCCAGATGGAGCTCACAGGGCACACCCAGTGAGCCAGAGTCTAAAACAGTGTTTTTCTTCTTGATTTTTAAGACTCGAAGAAGGTAGTGCTGACCTGAGGAAACGAATGTCACGGCTAGAAGAAGAACTAGACCAGGAAAAGAAAAAGTACACCATGCTGGAAATCAAGCTGAGGAACTCGGAGCGGGCGCGGGAAGACGCGGAGAAGAGGAACCAGCTGCTGCAGAAGGAAATGGAGGAGTTCTTCTCCACCCTGGGAAGCCTGACAGTTGGGGCAAAAGGCGCCAGAGCCCCCAAGTAGAGGGGTAGGAATAGCTCCCTTCTGCCGTGTTGCTCGCCCGCTCCCAGCAGACACGGCCGCCGGCCTCGTGAGGAGCCCAGAGCCCCTGCAGCCTGGACCTGGGCCTCGGTGGTGCCGGGAGCCCCAGAGCCAGCTGGAGAGAGAAGTCCTGACACCTGGGGTCCTGCTGGGAGCCTGAGCCCCACACCGGATCTGGATGTCCCTCTGACTGTGCAGGCCCTGGCGGGTGTCAGAGGGGACAGTCCCATGGCCACCAAAACAGACGGCACCCAGGATCCGAGTAGCCCAGCAGGAGCGTTTTGCATTCTTCATTAAATTTGCTCTGAAAGCATGATGCCTGGGTGCCTGCCTCCTCCTTTATGGTCATGCAAAATGGGGGTCACCAAGTGACCCCTACTGTTTCTGTCAGGGCTGGGAGTCCCCAAGGTGTCCCATGGGTGAAATGGCAGGGGGCCTTCAGAAGCGGGGTATGAAGCTCCCTGAGGAACACCCGGCATTGTCACGGTCACTGGAGATGGATATCGCAAATCTGTGTGCTTGCTGCGCCATCAGCCCTGTGCTCCAGGCAGGACGATTTTCCTCTCTCCTTCCTCCTCCTCTGGGCCCCCGGGGCCTCTGCAGCTGATGTCTGTCCTGGACTTCCGCTCGGGCCTCCCACCATAACCTGCTTGCTTGGCTTGGCCCCAGCTCTGCCCCAGGGCTGGGGCCTGTGAGTCAGCGCCCAGCAGGGGTGCTGCACTGAATGCTGCTGCACTGCGTGTCTGAAGAGGTGATAGGGAGTGCCCATTCTCTGTCCTCCAGGTGCACTCCTCAGGCTGCGCCCTGTCCCTTCCAGACTCCCCTTGAGCTGCTGTTCATCCCCCTCCCTTCCAGGCCCATTCCCCTTCCTCCTCCAATTCATCCTCAAACTTAAAGACTCCGTTAAGGGCAACTCCCTCGAGAAAGCCTTTACCTGGCCGCCACCACACACAGCCCAGGGCCGGGTGAGAGCTCCTCGGGATGGGCCTTAGGGGGCACCAAAGAAGCCGCGTCTGAGCCGAGGGTCCTGGCCTTTGGGGCACAGGCAGTGCCCGCACCAGTGTCCCTTCGCTTGCTCCTGCTCAGTGTCCTTCTACCCTGAGCAGCAACCTGCAATAGGTTTTTGGAGAGTGGGGGTCATCAAAGTGCCCCGGTTTCTGACCACTCTCTCTGGAGAAGTCACCCAGGCCCAACCACCCATCTGCCCAGAGTCAGAGATAAACTATTGTGCCAGTGCTGTGAGTGCCAGGGTCTCGGTACGCCCAGGAAGTGCTGGCCACACACCATGAGGCACAAGCCCACAGGCCCAAGCTGGCTGCGTCACTCCCGCAGTGGGAAGGCAGGCTGACCACTGGCTGTCCTCTGGGATGCTGACGGCCTCAACAATCAGGAGGCCGGGTACCTGCCGAGGGCCCTCAGCAGCATCAGCAATCAAAAGTTGTGTTGGGGAGCCTGAGGAGGGGGGGTCAGTGGAGAGCAACCCCTGCATCTGCTCTCAGGACCCCTGCCATCACAGCAGGCAGTCTGGGCGACCAGCTTTCCCAGAAGGTGCCCTCCTCTCTATTGCCCTCCTCTCTATTCAAGGAGAAAGAGAAAAGAATATAAGTGACCGAATCCTCACAACCACCGGGTAGGATAGGAATTGGCCCCACACTCCCCACTTAGAGGAGAAACAGGCTCGGAGAAGATAGGTGGACACACCAGGGTATTCTTATGGTCCTGAGCTCCCTCCCCACAGTCCTGGAATTCTGCCGACGTTGACCTGGAGAGAAAATGCCACCAGGCTATCAAAGGAGCAGCAAAGACCAAAGGGGTTTCACGTGATGGAGTCTGTCCTCTCTCAGCCGGTAATACTGGTGAAGGCTCAGCTTCCCGCGAAGTCTGTGGCCAAAACCAGATCCTGAGCCTCATCTGCCACCCGCTGGCAAAACTAAGATCTGCAAGTGCGATTTTTCCCTGAAAATTACTTGGCAATATTCAGTGCGAGTTCTGTCCTCCAATTTCCATGTAAGCAGCACTGTCCATTCTGTCTGTAAAACATCCTGACTGCTGCCTGTGGAGCAGCCGAGCACCGAGGCCAGCACCCCGTCCCCATGCATTTCGGGTCTCCCCAGTTGAGTCACATTCACGGAACCTGTAACCAAACCTGAGGATTCAAGTTGTACCTTTTATTATAATGACATCATTTAATATTAAGTTAAACCAATGAATTATGAATATGAAAAGATAGGGAATGAATTTTTCAAAAACGTAACTGAATGCTTTAGAAAGACTCAGTAAAGGCAAGTTGCTAAAAAAATTTGTCAAATTATGGATGAATCAACCATGCAATAATGGAAAATGGGTAAAAATCTAGGATTCTGCTCTCAGATTACTCCAGAAGTGTTTTAAAATTGGTATTTGACTTTAAAAAAAAAACTGGAAATTGTAAGTCTCTCAGTGAAAAACAAAAAAAGGAGTTGACTTATTTTAAAAGACTGACAAATGTCCATTTTTTGAGAGGTTAGACTACAATTTTAAGAATATTTGTGTGCGGGCCGGCCCCGTGGCTTGGTGGTTAAGTGCACGCGCTCCGATGCTGGTGGCCCGGGTTTGGATCCCGGGCGCGCACCGAGGCACCACTTCTCCGTCCATCCTGAGGCCGAGTCCCACATACAGCAACTAGAAGGATGTGCAGCTATGACATACAACTATCTACTGGGGCTTTGGGGGGAAAGATAAATAAATAAAAATCTTAAAAAAAAAAAAAAAAAAAAAAGAATATTTGTGTGTATGGGCAAGACAGAGACAGAGAGATTCCTGTTTTACCCGGCTGTTGAACAGTGGACCGGGCACGAACCGTGTTCATGCCTCACTGTAAAAGGGCTTCAGAGTGGAGTCCACGCAGCCATGTGCCCTGGCCTCTGGGTACTAAATGGAGTCGGTAACAATAACAACACGTTTCACTGACTCCCCCTCCTTTTGGTGCAGGGCCCCAGCCCCCTGGAGAGTCCCCCTAATATCCTACGTTGTTTTGTCACAAAGAGACAGTGTCTCGCATATACACGCTCGCAGCTACAGAGATGTGACACCCCCCACCATGCTGCTGCCTCTCTCTACGCTTGGATCCACCAAGAACCACCACCTTCGCCAGAAGTCTCTGCCCTTCCTACTGAGCACATCACTACTCCTTCCATGCCCCACCAAGCCCTGCGGCAGCTGAACCTGTGAGGTGTCAGAATTGTGTTGTGGTCTGTGGGGAAGCAGGGAGATAAAGCCAGGGGAAGCCTTTTGACGCAGAGCAGAGCGTGGGCTAGTTCTGCCACAGCTGTCGGGCCTTGGAGAAGTTAAGCTCTGTGGGTCCTGGTTCCCTCATGTCTAGAACGAGGATTGTTCACAGAGTGGCGGTTGTGCCAAAGGGTCTGAGCACCCTGCATGTGTATCTCATGTCGTCCTCAGGGTGCAAGGGACGTTCTGCACTTTACAGCCCAGGACTTGGAAGCACAGGGAAGTTAAGGACCTGGTCACAAACACAAGTCAGTGGAGGTGTCAGGCTTCCATCCCAGGGAGTCAGTTTCAGAACCTGTATTCTCAACTACTAGTCCGCATTGAAAAGACGCTGGCTTGATACTTTTAAAACATCACCCCAGTCCTGCTTTAATGGAGGTTGTGCACAGGGTGCAAAATGAGTGCTTTATATAAAAGAGAACTTGAAATCAGCAGAGGGCAGGGGCCGGGGAAGGCTCTCCGACAGATGTGACACCTGAACTCAGTTTCGTGTGCTGATGTGTGTAGCTACAGCAAAAGGGGTGTGAGAGAGAGAGAGAGAGGAGATGGAGGCCAGAGCGGGCAGCAAGGCCCCAGTCATGAAGGGTGGGATATGCTACTAACCTTCATGCTTTAGGACAGGCTTTCCCCACCGCGCGTTATATCCACTGTCCAGATTCACAGCTCTCCATTCATGTGATGATAGAGGAAACGAGACCACAGGACACGGCTTGTACAGAACCCACATTCTAGTGGAGTAAAAAAGACCATAAAGCGGTGTTAAAACAAGACAATAGGCCCAAAATGGAGTTGCTTATGCTAAGCCCCATGTCACCAAACCGAGGCTTAATTACAGTTTCTGCTCTCCCAGAAATGGAATCTTAAACCAATCAGTCAGGAATCTCCTAATCAGCACTAGTTAGGTGCAGGCATACTTCACAGATACTGCATTTGGTTCCAGACCATGGCAATAAAGTGAATATTGCAAAAAGCAAATCACACAAAATTTTTGGTTTCCCAGTGCATATAAAAGTTATGTTTACACTATATTGTAGACTATTAAGCATGCAATTGCATTATGTCTAAAAAAGCAATGTATATACATTAATTAAATGCTTAATTGCTAAAAAATGCTAACCATCATCTGAGCCTTCAGCGAGTTGTAACCTTTTTGCTGGTGGAGGGTCTTGCCTCGATGTTGATGGCTGCTGACTGACACGGTGGTGGCTGCTGCAGGTTCGGGGGCTATGGCAATTTTTTAAAATAAGACAACAGTGGAGTTTGCAGCATCAATGGACTCTTCCGTTCATTCATCAACGATTTCTCTGTAGCATGTGATGCTGTCTAATAGCATTTTACCCACAATAGAACTTCCTTCAAAATTGGAGTCAATCCTCTCAAACCCTGCTGCTGTTTTATCAACTAAGTTTATATAATATTCTAAATCCTCTATTGCCATTTCAACAATCTTCACAGAATCTTCACCAGGAGTAGATTCCATCTCAAGAAACCACTTTCTTTGCTCATCCGTAAGAAGCAATTCCTCATTCGTTAAAGTTTTATCATGAGATTGCAGCAATTCAGTCACATCTTCAGGCTCCACTTCTAATTCTAATTCTCTTGCTCTTTCCACCACATCTGCAATTTTTTCCTCCACAGAAGTCTTGAACCCTTCCAAGTCATCTATAAGGGATGGAATCAACTTCTTCCACACTCCTGTTAATGTTGATATTTTGACCTCTCCCCATAAATCACGAATATTCTTAATAACATCTAGAATGATGAATCCTTTCCAGAAGGTTTTCAATTTACTTTGACCAGATCCATCAAAAGAATCACTATCTATGGCAGCTATAGCCTTATGAGATGTATTTCTTAAATAATAAGACTTGAAAGTTGAGATTACTCCTTGATCCATGGGCTGCAAAATGGATGTGTTAGCAGGCATGAAAACAATGTTAATCTCATTGTACATCTCCATCAGACCTCTTGAGTGACCAGGTGTATTGTCAACGAGCAGTAATATTTTGAAAGGAATCTTTTTTCTGAGCAGTAGGTCTCAAGAGT